CCAATGCATTGTATTTCAATGAACGCTCTGGATTGGCTCGTCGTGGCCACCGCCTGTCTGTATTGTATACTGAAAGCAAGTGCAATGCGTTGACACGCGACAACAGTCGATTGGATGTGCGGGTGCTCTACCAAGAACACGGTGGTGGCAAAGCCAGTGCATTGGTCTACTCAGTTGCTTGACGTCAACATATTCTCGCCAGCATGAGCGCACCACAGAGCGTCTTCGTCGTCGTCTTGACCCAGGCCGACCTTCTGCGCACGGTGCTGAGCCACCAGCATGGCGTGCCGATGGCGGTCGGCCTTGCCTGCCAGCGCTACCGCCGCCAGCTCGGCCACGTCTCCCACAAGGCCCACCCTGAAGTCACGCATCTCATGTCGACGCCAGCGCGCTTCCATGGCTTTGTCTTGTGCAAGCTCATCCAAGACCGCGACGTTCAAACGGCTCTGGCCCTCCTCGCCACATTCCCAGACGCCGCGACGCTCCAACTGCCACGGGGCAAGCAAACATACACCTACACGATGGACTACGCAGCGAGAGCGCGCAGCCTGCCGCTCCTAAAGGCGCTCCATGCGCGACGGCTTGGGAGCTGCTCGAACGCGGCCATGGACACGGCGGCGGCCAACGGCGACGTCGCGATCCTGGAATTCCTACAGGCCCACACCCACCAGCGCTGTACGCACAAGGGCATAGCGGCCGCGCGGCGCAACAAGCATCTCGACGTTCTCGCGCTTCTCGAAGAGGGACGCGAGCGGTGCCGAGAGCCCAACGATATGTCGGGCGCCCAGTTTGGCTTTGCCGTCTCGTGTGTCGTGCAATAATCGATTTTTGTGAATAAGAACTCTCTCCAAACGTCATCATCCACGAAGCAGAATCTCGTCCTGTGGTCGCGTACTCTGCAGCAAGCACCGAAAGAGCTCGCGACGCTGCTGTGTCGACGAGCGAGGTCCAGCAACAGCTTCTTTTGATGGCCCCTTGTGACGTGGCACGCTCTCGTGCCTCCATGAGGTCGAGGGTGGCATCAAAATGAATAAAATACCTTGTGCATCAAGATCGAGTGGGGTTGGTCCTACGCTAGGATAGAGAGTCGGGTCGACAACGATGTGCCTCCAAGCACGCCAGCGCGGCCCTCGACTGGGCGTCCACTCGGCGCGGAGCGCAATGCCACACTCGTACAAGAACAAGAGAAGCGGCATGGGGAAGTACGCGTGGGTCGCAAGTAGAGGCGCGTCGATCGCCGCGGCATCCAAGGGAAACCCATGTGCAAGCAGCCAGCGCGCGCCGTTGATGTTGCGCTCCCGCAGCGCCGTTAGAACGGCGCTGGGTGACACGGTCGCTCGACGGAGTAGCGTCGCTGCCACGTTAAAGTGACCATGCTGCACTGCAGCAGCAAAGACGGCGTCGACCTCGGCATCGCTGGACGGGCGTTTGTCGAGCAAGTAGGCGGCGACGACGACATGTCCGTTGGCGGCGGCTTGCGTGAGTGCGTACGGGGGCGCAGCGACGCCGAGCTCCACAAGGAACTGGACAACGTCGAGACGACCGCGCGCTGCAGCGTGAATGATCGTGTTGCTCGTGCACGCAAAGCCGTGGGCATGGAGCGTCTAGATGAGCGGGAGCAGCCCTGCCGCGGCCGCGTCGTCGACGAACCCACGATAGATCGCCTCTGGCACGTGCGTGCAGAGGTACACTGCCAGCGCGCTCTTGCCGGCGGCCACCGCGCTCTCGAGAACGCTTGGCGTCCACCCGATCGTCGTGTACGTTCGCAGGAGCTGAATGAGGCTGACGTTGCCACGCGGAATGCACGACGACGGCAGCTCCCGGCCCAGTAGGCATGGCCCGTACGCCGCGTCCATTCTCAGCGGCTCGAATCGCTGCGAGAGCTGTGGGAGGTAGCGCCGCTGGTCCATGAGATACGACGCAATCTCGAGGCGGTTGTACAGAAAGGCCGTCTCGATGGCCTCGGCGAAGGCAAGGTCCGGGCGACAGGCCAGAATGCGCCGCACAGCGGCGTCGTCGCCTTCGTAGATGGCAAGGTGCAGCGGAAACCGAACGTCATTGGGACCAGCGCGCGCCAAGCCAAGCTTACAGCCAAAGATGCTCGTGATGGGCGCGTCGTCGTCGCTTCGAATCGGCCGAAAGCCGGGCGGAAAGACATATCGGTTGTGGAACCAGTCGCCTGCTGTCGCCAATGCAGCCTTGGCGAAGACATTCGCCTCGAGAAAGCGGCTTTGGACGTCGGCGTAGACGCCAAATTGGAAGCCAACGATAAGCGCGGCCAGATGCGGCGACGTCAGCACGACGCTCGCCATGCTCAAATCCCGGTCCCACAATCCTGACACTCTGGGTTTGTATAGCTTACAGTGGCCGAGTCAATGACGTGGCAGCGTGTACGTGTGATATCAGAATAGAATAAGAATACACGGCGCCGGTATCAGTGGGTATGTATAGTTCCGTTGGTTTACTTTTGGCTAAAAGTGGCTTGGCGGTAGCGGGCCGCGATTTGCAAACTCCATGTACGAGTCGTCGTCCGTGTACGTGAAGCCCTGAAAGAGACCTTCCGTGTCGCGGAAGAGCTGGCGGCGCCCGACCGACGAGCCGTACGTGCTGCGCGTGTCCGGGCTGTTGATGGGCATGTCGGTGAACTCGCGGTCAAACTGCGACGTGTCGAGCGCGCCGTTGAACGTCGGCTTCCATGGCACGGGCACTTGGCCAAGCGCGAGGAGGTCCCACTGAATCTCCTTGAAGAACGGGTGCGACTTGATCTCGCCTAGTATCAACTTGATAGCACGCAGTGCGACAAAAAGCACAAGAGCTTACCGGCGTCCGTGGGCCCCGTCCCGAGCCGCTTGGTCGGGTCGCGCTCCAATAACCGTGCCAGCAAATCGACCGCCGCGGGGCTCAAGTACTTCGGAAACGTGAGCTCGCCCTGGCGGATCTTCTCAAAGAGCTTGTCGCTACGTTAAACATGCATCAACAAGTCTGCGGCCATATCGAAGTCTGTACCGGTCACGGCAGTAGAACGGCGGGAGGCCCGTGAGCATTTCGTAGAGGAGCGCACCGAGCGACCACCAATCGACCGCACGACCATGGCCCGCACGGTTGAGGATCTCGGGCGCGAGGTACTCGGGCGTGCCGCAAAACGAGTTGGCGCCCGAAAAGTCGTCCTGCACCACATAGTATTTAGTCAAAAAGACTATCAACAGGAGGACGCACCTGAATGCCTTCTTTCGAGAGACCAAAGTCGGTGAGGCGAATGTGCCCATTCTCATCCAAGAGCACATTCTCGGGCTTGAGGTCGCGGTAGATGATGTCGAGGTTGTGCACGTACTCGATCGCGAGCGTGATTTCGGCCGCGTAAAACTGCGCGCGGGGCTCTTTGAAGCGTTGCACCTACACCAACCAGCATTGATACATTGATACTCGGTTGAAATGAAACAGACCTTGCCGAGGTGGAAGAAGAGCTCACCGCCGGCGCAATAGTCGAGCACAAAGTAGAGCTTCTCGCTGGTTTGGAATGCGTAGTTGAGCCCGACGATGAACGGGTGCCGGACATAGCCGAGCACGTGGCGTTCCGTGCGAGTGTGCTCGACCTGGTTGCGCTTGATGATGTTTTCCTTCCGAAGCACCTTCATGGCGTACACGACACCGTTGTCCTTCTTGCGCACGAGGAGGACCTTGCCGAACGAGCCCTTCCCGATGACCTTGATCAGGTGGAAGTCGTCCAGCGCCACCTTGCCTTCCGCGGGCTGCATGTCGAAATTCTAAAAAGTACCGTGAAAATGTGTTCGGGTCGGCAAGATGAAGGGCGTACCGACGTGTCGAGCGTGCCATTGGCCGGCGACGGCGGCGGCATGTGGTCAAACTGGAATTGCTACATCAAGTGCGAGACATGAGGGTGGGAGGTTCAGCAGCGAGGTGCGTACATCGTCGTCTTTGCTCGCATCGTCACCGCCCGCAAACATAAAGTCCATCTACAAAGCAACGATGGGACACATGGAATACAGAGAGAGGCGACGTACGTCCATCTCGCCAATGTTGTGGTCGGCGCTGGCGGAGGGAGCTGGCGCGGCCGGGAGGCCACCGGCTTGGTTGGGGAAGAAGTGCTGCGAGAGCAGGAGGCCTTGAGGCACCGTGTTGGCCTCGGCCGAGATAAAGTTGACAAACGCGTGCGACTGCAAGAGAGAGTTCTGGTACGGGTACGAGAGCAGGTGCGCGAGCCAGCGCTGCAGGTCGTCGCGGCACCGCTCAATGCCATGGAGGTTGCCGAGGTTCATGGCCGACGCAGCGTGCATGATCGGGCAGGGCGGCAGGCGCAGCTGCGGAAACTCGCTCGCGATGCTTTGGCTCAGCTGCTCAAACATCTCGAGCCGGCGGTACACGGTCCAGGTCGAGATCGAGGCCACGCTCTGCGGCTGCTGTACATTGAGCACGAAGACCTACATAGCAATCGACGCGCATTGAGACGGCGGAGCGCATGGGCGATGCGTACAAAGATGTCGGGGAACCGGTTGTGCGGGTCCTGCAGGAGGCCATAGCCACTGATGGACACGTTCAGGGACATGGCGGCCGACCTCGCCGCTGCCGGTAGCTCGATGGGATTTTCAGTGACGTTTCTCGCCGACTAAGAAAAACCACGTCACGGACTTTACCGGATTTTATCCATTTCTTTTCTATGCCTTGGTTGTTGTATGCTAATAAAACAAAAGCCAAGTTTTACCCGATGCGTACTTGAGAGAGATGCCATGTCGAGCAGCCTTTATCTCATAGTTTGTATGCGCGAGGTGAAAAACCGCATCGCACTTAAGCCGCATCCAAAATGACGGGCTTTCTAACCTTGGCGTTTGTAGGCTCGGCATGGGCTTGACATACGAACTTATTGGGATTTGTTTGCAATGTTTAAAATACATAAGGCATGAAGGCCAATAATATAAAAACGCAATCTGGGACTTGGGAGAGATGCCGCACTTTACTGGCAAAGACCGCGCGCAGCCAATCACGCGCCAGAGCACGGAGTGGTGTGGACAGGGAACATATATTTTAAAAAATATATCGGTGTTTCAGTATGCACGCCACGGAATTTAATGAAGCGAAAACCTTTGATACTCAATCGTGTCGGGAATATGCCTTCATAGAGGTTTGCACTTAGGATAGGCTCACAAGGCGGGAAGCTCGTCTCGGAAATGGCCCACGTTTCCTGCGTGGGAAGCAGACAGTGACAGGAAGCTGCAATTATTACCTCTGGAGATGCGATGCGACGACAAGCAGATGCGTCTGCAATTGTGCTTGCGTTGAAATCCCTTGCAAACTCGATAGACTTACGACGCCACGTCAGCTCCACTGCAGAGCAAGCACGAGAAAGAACGCACTTGCCATAGACTTCTTCTTCTTCGTACCGACTGTTTCGTCTGCGAGTGTACAGAGACGAGTGCATGCTCGAATGCGTTGCGACCGTTGTTGAAGCGTCTGGCTCCACTCTTCCAGTCCATGTCTTCTCGAAGCTTCCCACGAAGCCGAGCCTCTTGCATCTTGTCTGCACTGCGGACGACAATCTGGCCGTTGGAGCGATGCTTGTGATGAGTGCTCGCAAAGGGTTTCTACAAGGAGGCCCGGCGTGGTTGCCGCAAACGTGGCACGCTGTGGGATCGACACTGGAATCTCAGATTCTGGCTTTTGGTCGGACTGTCAAACAGAATTTCGAGATCCAGTGGCTTGCAACAAAGGTCAAAGGAGTCGGCGCGGTCCATGCCGCCTAGGCGTAATGCCAGACGTTTCGCCACCCGATTGACCCAACGTTCCTGTCGCCTCGCTGATTGGCTACATGTTGGCCAATCACATTACGCTGGGTGGCGCCCGTCCTTGGTCCGCATCGCCACAGGAAGAATCTGGACGCATTGCGCAATCGCCAAAACTTCGTCGCTTCGCAAACGCTGGAAATCCCAGATTCTGCATCTCAAATCCAGGCGAATCCAGACGAATCCAGCGGTCCGTTCTTGCGGCTCTTGTGGTACCTCGCCCGCCCGAGGGACTTCCTTCTTCCCATGGTACGCTCGCGGCCGTAGCATCATCATCATCCGCATCAAGCTCTGCAGACCTGCCGCTGCCGGATGGATGCAAGAAGGATGTGGCAAGATCAAAGTTGCGGAGGAGAACACACGGGCGACGCCGGGTCCGAGCCACTCAAGGCCGATGGACTGGGCGGTCGCGCGTGTGATTGTATAGAACAGAGTTAACTACCTATGACTAACAAAACTAGAACTACGGATTGCTACACCCGAGGTTGGAGGCGGCAAGACTGCGCGATGGCGGAACCGGAGTTGCGCGAAAGCGAGCGTTGGCACCTCCTTGTTAAATATGGCGTGAAGCAGCCGCCGGGCGTTTAAGCCGTCTGCGGGAACGGCTCGGGCACGAACCACGTGCCTTCGGGCTTGATCGTGTAAAAGTCGTCAAGGTCGTCGAGGTTCCACGTGACGGGGAAGGGCTCGTCGGCGACCTTGGGCAAGGCCATGAGCGGGGCGTCGTCGACCCAGAGCGCCGCCATCAAGTCGTTGGTGTTGCTGCTCGCTTGCGGCCACACGGCGGCCGGCGTCGGCTCGACGTCGAGCGACTGCAATGCCAGCAGAATTTCGTCGTGGATCTGGCTTGAGAGGAACTCGTCGTCAAAGGCGTACTCGCCGGCCGTCGCTGGCTTGACACTCGGGTGCGCATCGATGCTGCAGTCGCTGTGGCTGCCTTCGTCGTCCGTCGACGTCGACGCCTTGCGGAACGCGGTCAGGTCGGCGGGCGCATAGGCGCGCAGGCCGTTCGTGTGCGTCTTGACGTGGCGCACGAGCTTCTCCTTGGTGCAGAAGCGCTTGAGGCACGTCGTGCAGCCAAAGGGCTTTTCGCCCGTGTGGATGAACTTGTGGCGGTTGAGGTTGCCATGCGTCGAGAAGCAGCGCTTGCAGCCGTCGTAGTCGCAGACGTACGGGCGCGCGCCCGTGTGCGTGTTGAGGTGCTCCTGCAGCGTGAACTTGCGCTTGAAGCGCTTGCCGCAGCCAGGGATATGGCAGCCAAAGCGGCGCTCGGGCGACTGCATGTTGGAGGTCGTCGAGTGCATCGGGAAGAGCAAATTCGAAAATGGCAACTTGGTCGGGCGGCGGCGGCTTCAAGGCGACGGAAAATCGCTCCGGAGCCAATCAAAGTCAAGTGACTTGGCAATCGCCTGTCGCCATCTTTTGATTGGGCGGGTATCGTGACCTGGGTTTTTGCACGCTTTTGATTGGCCGCTGGTTTCACTCGCCCGTCGGCGAAGGATTCGAAGCCGGGCGTCACAATCCCACTAAGCGACAGCTGGTGAGCAACAAAGCAGCTGTTAAAGCAGATGGTATGTCGTCGCCGGGTCGGGAGAATGGAGGACGCTCTTGGGTTTGGGTTGATTGTTCCAAGGACACAGATATCCGACATGGAGATCGCAGCTCGACTGGAATCCACCGCGCGAAACGATCCATGGCGCAGTTAGCTCGCCGTGTAGGATGGTACTGCATGCTTCAGCGGTGCTTTCATTGGCGTCGACTGCAGATACCGGTATGTTCACACTGCCCGACGCGAGGCGGCGTGGAATATACAGCTGCACGTTGGACACTCGAGCCGGAAATATACTTGGCCTGCACTTGACCTCTCAACGTCAGCGATCTCTCGCCCAGCTGGGCGTCTTGGTGATGCAAGCGTGCAATGCTCTCAAGACCCGTTTTTGTTCAAAAGTTAAAAAGTTAAGCTTCTACGGCTGCCATGGATAGCGGCAAGAGCTCAGGCTTCCTCAATTGCCCGCGTGAGATGGCCGTTGAAGCCCGCGTATTAAGGTGGGATGGTCTCGCGCCCGAAAAACACGACGGTTGTTTGTGCGGGCGACTTGGCCCGTGGCACGCCTCGTCGTACGTGGCTTCTGAGGACCGTGGACTCAGATGCGATGACCAATAAGAACTCAGCCTCGGGTCCACGTCTCGGCCCCGCGGTGTTTCATAGGCCGACGCTCACGGCCAATGAGGTTGGGCTCGGCCCGTGACTCGCTGGCGTATACCACCCTACAAGTGCCAATCTCGCGTTGTTGACGCGCGCGGCACACATACTCGTCGGCACCGCGGCCACTTTGCAAGACGGGCCGTGACGAGTGGTGCATCAGGCCATCCCCTCGCATGATAGGCTACCGGCAAGCCAATGGGGCGTCGCGTCGGGCATGACGGCAAGCCCTCGTCGCCGGTCCGTGTCGCCTCGCAAGAAATGCTACATTTGCCGATTAGATAGATGCTGGTTCCAATTCAACGGAGAGACCAGTTTGGGGCATGTCTCGGATTGGGCTACGTTAGCTTGGTCCACGTGGTCGACTCGACACGACCAACGGCCTCTCCGTCGCTTCTCGCCCGCCATGTTCTCGATCGTCGTCGTCGTCGTCGTCCCGCAGTATCTTTGAAGCTCAAATATGCGATCTTGTTTGGATCTCGCTGTGGGTAGCGGCGGCGGTAAGGTTCTCAGATACGCTGCTCGGTCCTAGATGAATACACTGTATGAAGCGACACTTCATATTCAAAACAGTGTTTGACGAATCACGGCGGCCACAAGAACGTTCGATGGCTCGCGCGTGCAATGGATAAGTTCAATTTCCGGTCTACTGCTGGATTTCTCCTTGGTACGGACCAAGAGGAGGTGTCTTTGACCGTGGACACGAAGCGAGTAGCTACTGCACGCGTGCGAACTCGAAAGGAATCATTTTAAGAACGCTCTAGTCTGATTGGCGACGCTCTCGTCGCGGCAGCCACAAGAAGTGATGCCAGCGCCGAGGATGGCCACAAGAACCTTCGCGGGACGGCCCGCGACAGAGGTTCATGGCTACCAAGTACTCAGACGCGCGGTCGAAGACCTTCTCACTGTCGCCATCGAGAAGCATCAAGAAGGAGCAATGTCGCGACAGTCCGATGTTGATGGTTTGGCTGTCGGTCGTTTCTTCTCGGCGGCGATCTCGATCACCCATGCAAGCAGCGATTTTATTGCGATTCTCTGGCGGTGTTTTGTAAACGCGTAGAGACGCCTTCGTACATGCCGCCACCACAAGAACTCGCGCACATCTCTTCCACACACTGTATACCAGACTCGTATTCAATTACCAGAATGCACAAGTCGATGTATACTGTTATAGTTGCAGTGTTGTAGCTGTCCTACAGTACGTCTATTGGACGTTGACGAACGCGACGATGACGGTCGTGTCGTCGATGACCTAGTTGGCGCGCAAGGTGAGGGATGCACCTCTTTAGAAGGTTTGTTTACCTGCTCTTCCTTCATCCACCGGCGGTTGGCCTCCAAGATGAGGACATCCACCTACACCACCAATAAGATCTTATCGTCCAAGAGAGAAAACTGGTCGCACCGCTTGCTTCGGGTCGGTGTGGGCCGTTGCCATCTTGATCACTTCGTCGTCCGACATGAATTCCCAGAGCCCGTCCGTCGCAATGACGAGACACTTGTCGTTGGCGTCCAAAATGCGGGTAAAGAACTCGGGCTCGGAGCTCACCTAGCGCGCAAACATGCACTACATGAGCAACGAACAACTACGACGACGCTACCCCCGCCGTGTGCGCGACCGCGTCGCAGAGCGACCGAGACATGGCCAAGCCCGGGACGTCCATGTGGCCGAGCCAGACACGCGGTGGGCCGTCGATGCCTAAAACAACGATTATAATGCACTTGCGCGATGCTTCCTCGCAGCACGAACCGTCGTCGTATTCGACCGCAAAGACACGGCCGCCGGCGGCCAGAATCCGCGCCTTCTCGTTCGGCCGGTCCGGCTTGTGGTCGTCCGAGACGGCTTCCGCGATGATCGTTGCGCCTTGGGCGTATCCACGTGTGACTCTCGAGTCGCCAACATTGCCGACGACGAGGAGCCTAATCGAAACGAAAAGTGAGGTCGTGGCAAGGATCGAAGGGGGTCCCACTTGTCACGGATGACACTGACGACGCCCGTGCTGCCGCTAAACTCCGTGTCGATGCTCTGGTCTCGGAGCACGCGCTTCTCGACCGCGTTCATCGCAAAGGTCATGGCCGCTAACCAACTATGAGACACGTCGACTAAAAAAAAGTGTACCTTGAATGCCTTCCGCGTCTTTGGCCATGTCGCCTGTCGGCGCAAAGCCCGCGTGCTTGAAGAGCTCGTCGGGAAATTGCGCGCGAAAATACTGCGAGACGCCGTCGCCCGCTTCGCCGTGGCCGTCAAAGACTCCGAGGAGGAGCGACTTGGTCGTCGCGTCGTACTGCATGATCATCGAGTCTTGGTTCTTCTTGCGCGGGTTGTACGGCGCATACCCTTTCTTGCTCACGCCGGCGTAGCACCCGATCGAGGCTGTGCCGTCTTGGATGCCGTCCGGGTCGGCGGTCGAGACGCTGGCCAGCCCTTCGACCAGCGTATTGTCGCTCACGACACTCAAGCGGCGGCGCGCGAGATGCACATTCTCCTCCGCCGTCGGCTACACTCGGTCGTCAAGTCGATCGTGGTCACGGGAGCTTACCTTTTTGTGGGAAATGCCCTTGGGCGATGCGACGTTTGTGGCGGTCGCGCCGTGCTGCTTGAGGCGGTTCAGCGCCGGGTCTTGCACAATCGAGCCCTTGCGCTTGAACGTGGCCATGGTACTGTCGTGGCCCGAAAAGTAACAGTGGCGGCTTTTGGGCCCGTCCTGTATAAATAGGCGTTTGGGTGGGTGGTGGCCGCTGGCGCGTCGTTTCACCAGCGCGCGCGTCTCATTGGCTCATAAACGATCTTTCACGAGGCGCGTGCCAAAAAAGGGTGCGACGCCATCTTCTTGTCTTGGGCCGTGTCCGATAAATAGCCATGGAGGTTACCCCTGCATTAATGCTGTCGTGGAAAAGCTGGTGATGCCTCGAGCCACACAACTCATGCATTGACGACTGCCATGGCTCTTGCGGGCTCCCGCGAGCTTTGAGCTACGTAGTGGTCTTTTAAGTGACTCCGTATTGACCGCTTGGATGACACCTCTTTTTGGCACAACAGAGCAATGTTCGAGTTTCGTCAAGGACGGACTTTTTATTCATGTAGAGACTAGAAATGAAGAAAGACGTGGCGACTACACCGGCGGCCCCTTGGTCAACGCATCGAGCTTGGCCTGCAGCTTTTGCTTGGGCGTGAGTTGCACGCCGGGGGCGGGCGCCTCGGGCTGCTCCATGGTGCCGTAGGCGCCTACAGTCCATAAAAGTAATTGAGTTTCAGATGCGTAATAGCGTTGCGCCGCGGATGCCCCGGAGGCGCTTCTGCAATAGAATGCCGCAGACCGCCAGCGGCAGTAGGAATAGCGCGACGAGGAAGACGCAGAGGGCAATGTTGAGGCAGAGCCCGAGCAGATCCTGGCAGAGCAAGTCGTGGACGATCGCGTACTCTTGGTTGATCCACGAGCAGCCTTCGTTGCTCGTGCACTCAACGGCGTTGATTTGGCTCCACACACTGAGCTTGGTCAAAGGCGGCAGCTGCGTCGTCACAAACGCGTTGAGCTTGGTCGCATACGACAGACCGGCGTTCAAAAGACTTTGGCTGCCGCCCGGCCATCCCTTGGAGTTGTTGTAGTTGGTGTTGCCTTGGTAGTCTTGGTTCATCATGTACAGGTTGCTCTGGATCTTGACCGCCGCCTTGGCGTAAATGCGGGCGTCCTGGAATGCGACGAGGCACGACGAGCCTGCATTGCACTTTTTCAGCATAAAGCACATGGCCGGATCCCTAATGCGGCGTTGGACGAGGTTGCAGTTGAAGAAATTGCGTACGCATCGTCGGCCTTGCAATCCGCGCTCGCGAGCGTTGTTTCGTAGAGCTCCCACGGTGTCTCGAGCTGACCGACGTTCGTCGCCGTCACTTTCTGCGGCGGCATGTCGCGGAGAGCCTCCGAGAGCAGGGATGCTTGGATGTCCGCCGAGTAGCCAAAGTCGCTGAGACCGTAGACCGTGATCGGGTTGTTCTGGAGCTGCTGAAACGTCGTGAGTGGCGCCACCTAGCATTTTTGTCAGCCACAATGCGAGCTAAGCATCGTCGTACGCTCTGGGCGACCGAGAGACGTTCAAAGAGGCCACACGAGGCCGTGTACGCCGGCGTCATCTGCAGTGCCGCGAGCGTGCTTGTGCCTATGCATCACAATCGCGTCCCGTCCTGCGCTGACGTCATCACGGTTACCTTGAATGCACGACGTGAGGATGCTCGAGGTTTCCGCGGAAAAGTACGGGGCCATGTTGGTGACAATCATGTCGAGGTACTTGCAGCCGTCGTACCTACAATTGATACAGAGTTGATACTTAGTGGGCACGACGTGGCGAAGTACCAGAGCGCCGAGACTGCGATCAGAAGCGATGCAACGACAAAGCTGATGATGCAGAGCAGGACGCCGAGGATCCAGCTCACATGCAGGAGGTGGACCATCTTCGAGTTGTTCTTGCACACGCCACGCGCAAAGCCAATCATGCCGAGGAGCGACACGAAGAGTCCGAGGATAAAGATGCACAGCACGAGCCCCGACCGGCCGTACGAGATCTCGTCAAACGACGTCTGCACGGTGCTCACGGCCGCGTTCGAGTTGTTGGTGGCAGACGCGAGCACGTCGAGGTTGAACTGCGCCGTGTTGATCGCGTTGAAGAGCGTCGCCGAGCCGTCGTACATGGTCGCGCGCGCGAGTTGGAAGGTCGCATCGAGCTGCGATGCGGTCGTTGCCATCGCGGCCGTAATGGCGCGGGCTTGGACAGTCGCGGTGCCGCAGAGAGCCGCTGGACACGTGAGGCACACCTTGTCGCTGTCCACGCACGTTGTCGGGAACGCAGTCGTGTAGGTCGAGTCAATCGCTGCGCCCATGGTCTGTGGAAATGAATGAGACAATGTTTAAAGAGAAAGAAGAGTGTACCTGCAGGGCCTTGGCCCCCGACACGATCCAGTCGGTGCTGCCGAGGGCCCCCTTCATGGCCGCGACGGTCGTCGCCTGGCTGGTTTCGATTGCGTTGAGTGGTGTGAGGAGATTCTTGGCGTAGATCTGCGCGTTGGCGAGCACTTCGTTGAGCGATGCAAACAAGTCGTGCATCTAGCTCATGTGTGAGAAACAAGAGTGGCGGCAACAGTGAGGATCGAACCCGCGCCGTGACGCTGTTGTTTTGAATGTACGCGGCGACGCTGCAGATGAAGATCGCGAGCGAGAAGAGAAAAAAGCTGACGCCGGGAATCAAGACAGCGCACCACGTGTAGCCTCGCTCGATCGGGTCTCGGCCGCCGCACTTGTTGCAAACGCAGCGCAGCACGAAAAAGCCAACAAAACCGAAGAAGGTGAGCACCGCCAGCGTGACCCTAGCCCGTCCGTGAGCTCCTCTGTGTCGATATGTATAGAGAGATATACCCTGGCGCTGCGTACGGAACAAGCGACTCGGCATACGTTTCCTGGATCCAGGACAGCGCCGTGTCGATCTGGGCTTGCGAAAAGCGCGGCTGGCGCGGCTACAACACATATGAGCGTCGAGATATGTAGAGCATCGGAGTACGCTAATATTTGGGTTGGGCGTCGGCCAGAGGCAGTTGGCGAGGCGCTCGCATTGGCCGGGCAGCGCCGCGCACGAGCCGTTGCCCGGGACGACGATGCACGCGTTGTTGCGGTCGCGCGCCGCGTTCGTGCTCGTGTTGGGCACGCAGCGCGTGAGGTCGGCCGCCGTCGACGTGAGGTGGCAGAACGCAATCATCATGTTGGTGAGCGATGTATTGTACCAGGACGCGGACTCGGACCGGAGGCCGTCCATGGCCTGCACGGCCGAGCGGCCCTGCAGCACGACGCGCGCCTGGTCGAGCGTGTCGAGCGTCGAGAGGTTCGTCGCCTTGAGGCTGCCTGTTTGCGGCTGCGTCACTTTGGTCGGCGCGTTGGTTGCCAAGAGGCTCGGGCACTGCGTCGCCCACGTGGCAAAGCCGGTGGCCGAGCACTGGTTCGCGGGCGGCCAGCTCTGCCCATGCACGCAGGCTGCGGCGATGGCCACAGCGGCGAGGACTCGGACGGCCATGAGGTCTCGGCGAATCTCGGAATGAAGCGCTAGGTATCGCGCTCGCTGTTTTTAGCGTGCTAAAGATAGCATCTTACAGTATTTATAGCAGCATCCATGTGGCGAGAATAGTGTATCTATGAGCGATTCCTATTTGGGCAGTGGTAGAGAGTGGCGAGAGGGTCATGGCAGCTCCTCCCATCGGCACTCGCGCAACGCGATCGACCATCGAGTCCCCACTTGCGACTCAGCTGAGCTACCACTCTTGCGACGACCACTGTCCGGATGGCGGCACGTGGCACGTTCTCCGACGTGTGCCGAAAATAGCCTACTGTATTACACTATATCGGTGCTTTCGGCGGATGCCGAAGCCAGCGGTTACACGCCCGCCATTTTGAAAAGATCGAGTGTTGCGACAAGGGGTACACATTAGCTATTATCAAGAGTACATATATAACTATCTATGTGTTCTTGCTGTTCTTCACCCCTGGTGCGACCGCCATGACTCAAACCAGCGAATTCAGTGTCTCAACCGATCGGCTACATACCTAGGCGCGGTAGTAACGAAGCATTTGGTTCGATCGGTACCAAAAGTACTACCTAAATATGTAATATATTGAATTGATGACCTCTTGATCGGTCCTTGGCCGGATTTGAAGTCGGAAGGACGTGGCTAACTATGCAAGTACTACGTTTTTTCTTCCGCTGGAAAAGAGAGTTTTACCGTCCACAGAAGCACGCGTTCCGACTGCGATGACAGCAAGTAGCACCTTTACCATCGAAGATAGGACCTAAACAATCTAGTAGCCCCCAGCGACCGTGCTACGCCGCCATGTCAAGCAACATATCTCGGAAGCAGCTCTTGATTTGAAAGATCTACGAAGGGCAAATTGAGTGAATACCCTGTGAACCAAATGCTATGTATGCGCGACGTCAGTTTAACCACGACGTAGCTTGAGTACTGTGTAAGTTTTGTGTTGCGATTGGGTCAGCAAGGATTCGCGAGTCTCTGTGTTGTCCTCTGCTTGTTTAAGTGGGCTTGCCAAATTTCAACTCCATCGGCACTTCAAAAGGTCTCAAACGTGCATATCCGAACCTGCTTGTAGAATGTGGGGCCCTACATTCTCCGTTTTGACCATGGCGAGCGTCGTGCTGACGTCGGCGCCGCTGGTGGGCATCGTCGTTGGCTTCCAGTACGGTGTCTACGAGGACATTCGCTTCCGCTTCCTCGAGGCGCGCACCTTGAAGCTGGTCAAGTCGTCTACCTGGCGCGATAGCGTCTACGTCTTCCTGCCCGGCTTTCGGCCCATCTACGACGGCAAGGAACCGACGATGGCTGTGACCTTCTTGTCGCCGTACGTGCTGGGCTTGGAGCTCGACGCTTTGTCCGATGCGCGGCTTCCGTTGCACCTTGCAATCTACGAAGGCGACGTGGCAGCGACGCAGCGCATTCTGGCCTGTCGCCCGGATCTCGCATCTGCCGAGGCCATCGACGTTGCCTTCTACTGCGCCCGCTTCGAGTTGGCCTCGTCTCTTATGGAGCTGCGCCAGCATCTGCCGCAGCTTAACAAGCACTTGTATCCGTGGAATACGACGGCCGGCAACAACAGTCCCATCGGGCAGCACTTGCCAATGCGGTGTGTATCCGAAGGCAACGCAGCACAACT